GAAAAAAAAAAAGGTCCATCTTTTTTAGAAATACAAAAGTTATTCCTCTCCCCCACAAGAGAACATCAACAAGGAACCAAGATGGTGACCCCTTTTCATTTCACCCTTACTTTTGAGAGCACACATGCCTCACACAACTTGAATTTTTGTGTGTGTAAATGAGAGAAAGAGAGAGAGAAATGAAATGTAATATAATGATGGGTTCCAAAGCTAGAATGAGTGGAGATCCATTAACAAAGAATCCTCTCTCATAAAATTTTTAACCTTTTGTGGGGAGGGGATAGGATTCCCTTTACTAGCTCTAAATTTACCAGACTTTCTGGGGAAAGTCAACGAGAAAGCTGATCCCTTTGTTTTGTTTTGTTTTTTTTTTTTTTTTGTTTGTTTAATTTTTAATTAACACAACAACTACAAGGGAATCCATTCCCCTCTCTTATGGTGCTTCCCACTTGGGAAGTGATTAAGTGCAATATTGGGATGTCTTTCTTTCACTTGGAAATCATCACTTTCACTACACACCAAATACTAACAATATCTTTTCAACTAACAAAAAAGAAAAAAAAAAGTTTTAAAAAATATATTGCATCATTACTGCTGAAAAAGCACTATCACTAGTGTAGCATCGACCGATTGCATGATCAAATGCGAAACCAAGAAAGGCACAATTATCATAGTTTTTAATAAAAATTGTTAGATACATGGTTAGGTCTGGTTCTTTTTGTTTCGTTTATAAATTTTTAAATTTTTATTATAGACGAATAAGATAGGAAACAACATGACATTGATAATCTTTTTTTTTTTAATCAGCAAAACATTAATATTAGTGGTGTTGTGAGAAAATTTATCGCAACAAAAATTCGGTAGTACTATTTTTATCAAGGCTGAAAGGTTTGGAAAGGGTTGTTTCTAATGAAAATCTTCTTTTAGGCAGCAACTTATAAAATAATACAATTTTAAAAAAAGATTTACAAAATACCAATTTCTGTTCAGATATTCTAGAAAAGAAAATCAGTTCAAACGAAAAGGCCAAAAAAAAAAAAAAAAAAAAAACAAACTAGGATTTACTAAGAAGTTCAGATAATTCTGATATTTATAATCTAAAAGCAACCATGTTAAAATGATCCAAAATTACCTAAATACTATAGGGTCTTTTGCTACTCCTATAATACGACAAAGAAAAACTAAAATATTTATAAAACCATGGAGAAGATTTTGGAACCCTCAAAAACATCATCTTAAAAACTAGGGTTTCCAACGCGCGTAGTTAGGTTATCGCTCTCTTAATGGGGCACAATACATATGATAATTTATATTAAGATACATGTTAGCTTAAAGAATATGACATAAACTATTCTTTAATTTTGTTTGAGTGGAGAGATGTAAATCATGTCACAAAACATATATAATTTAAAAAGTTAGAACGTTATTTATTACGAACCAGATTCGCATTGCATTATTATTAGAGATATGTATAATAATATTGGAGTTTTTATCAAGTAGATCTTTAGTACGAGTGAAATTTTAATTATTAAGGTCAAAATCACACTAAAGTAAAAAAATATGCGAAATAAATAATTTCTATATAAATTGAATTACTAAAACTAAAACTTTTTTTAGTAGTTATTTGCTCCATGCCTATAAGAGAAATCTCCATAATTATAAAGAAGATTGGAGGTTTGTGAAGCAATGCGCATTGCCCACTACTTCAAGGAAAACAAGCAAGGCTATAGCAGCTTTCCTTAATGATGATGTCACATGTATTGATAATGATCAGCAACAAGGTCAAACCTAATGCAATACATATGCATTCACTGGGGTCCATATGCTTAACATCATGTCCAAATATTGCTTATGTGCTAGTCCCTTTCCAACTCTTTTCTTTTTCTTAATTTTTCTTTTCTTTTCTAGGATGATTGCTTCTGTTGAATATTTGCCTTATGCCTTATCCCCTATGTAACATGTTCATATATTTTAGGGAACAGGAGGCAAATGCCAGAGGTATGGATTTGAATTTTTACTCTTTACTTTTAATAAATATTTTTTTAGTAAATAACTATATTAATAAAAATAGTATTGATCAAGAATAAAAGAAAAAAATTCAATCTATACATTTTAAGAGTATTTTTATATATATTATATATACTTATTTTGATATGCATACATATATATTATATGTGTGTGTGACACACATGCAACAAAGGATTTTTTTTTTTTAAAGCTCATGCAATGGTTATTTTTTGTTCTTTTTATTTCTAAATTCTTTCTTTCTATTGTTGGATATCATGAAATTATTGGAATGGATAGTTGGATGTTAGGTTGATGCTTCTTCAAGAGTTTCTTTAATTAGTTTAATATGAGGTAAAAATTCTTCCAGTCCAGCCTGAACTCGACGACTCGAATGAAAATTTCGGGTCGGGCCGACCTAGCTTTAAATAGGAGGTACAGCCCAACCAGCATGCTACGGAGTTTTATAAGGTATTCTAAAAAAAAAATTTTAAAAAGGCATTTGGGTTGGGGAAGGCCCGCTCGAATAAAGTTTTGTGCTCGAATCCTTGGTTTGGCCCGATCCGAAGGTTAGGTCCGAGTTGGGCCAGGGCGAACAGTGACGGGCTCAAGCTGGCCCATTTAGTCTGGTCTAAACTTACAGATCTAAATATGATCCTGCTAAAGCATTCACGTAATGTATCACAATCTTAGCCAGACTGGGCGTAGACAACTTTTAAAGAGAATTAAAGGATGCTCTCTAATAAGTGGTATAAAACTTTGCGTCCTTATTAACACTCTCTAATGCAATGGTAAATTACCAATACTAAATTTAGCATTTAAGTAGGAAAATCACTTTTCAATTCGATGTGATTTTTTATGTCAAATTTAACATATGTTATCCAATCAAGTGTAGCATATGAAAAATTTGACATTTAATTGTTATCAGTTGATATGTTTAATTTTTCATTTAATTATTACAATATTTACATTTTCAAATTATTATAAAGGAAGTTTCTCTGGTAGAACCACAAAAAAATGAACTACCAGTAGTTTTTTATTTTTCAGCCGTAAGATATTTATTAGAAACTGTATGTTCTGCATATTTTTTCAATTTAATAGGATTTTAACCAGATCCAATAGTTAGAAACTGGCCTTATTGGTAGAAAGGCTACCGAAAAATGTCCTTATTATAAAATTAAAAGTTTACTTTTACAATTTTTAAAACTTAACGATTGTAGCAAAAAGTATATTTAACATTTGAAATGTTACTATGCATTGGTTATGAATACACATTTGGCATTAATAATTGCATTAGAGATGGTCTTAGATTCACACATTCTCTTTTGTTTCTTCTAAACTTAAATCAAAAGGGACTTAATTTTAATAGAAAAAAATTGGGGGAACAAAACTTAAAAAGAATATTCAAAAAATTTCTCGTGAGGTTATCCATTGTACAAAAATGACAACTTTAAAAAATGAATGAAAATTGCGGTAAATAACCGTTTTTTGAAACTTGTTTGAGTCATATAACATCTTTTAAATTATTTTGAAGTAAATAGTATATTATTATTAAATAATTTATTTGCAGTAACTAGTAAATAATTTATTTATTGGAGTAAATAATTTATTTATCAGTAAATATACTATTTAGTTCAAACATTTTAACACTTGTTGTTTACTTAAAAAAGTTTCAAAAAAAAAATGTTATCGGTTTCATTCCCCTAAAATAAACTACACAAATTCTTTGGTTTCTCGAAAGTAATTAAATATTCCTATTTACTAAGACAATGACGGAAATATATGCAAATATATTTATTTACCAATATTCACTTACTTTTTACCGATTGTTTTTACTTAATAAATAAATTATGTACCTAATATTTACTTAATGGATGCATTTTCTACCAATTATAGTACGTAGCAAGTACATCACTATCAATATTTACCTATTATCTATTTATTTAATATATTATTTTTTATCGAAGTAAAAATTACACCATACACATATTTATCAAATTCAAATCGAATATAACAATTTTTTTGAAATTTTGAGGAATAATAAATTAAATAGCAATTATCATAATTAATTAGAAATTTTTACATAATAATTATTATAACGATCTTTTTATTTTGGCAAAATATTCTAATTTTGCTATTATTTAAACATGATTAGTTAAAAAAAAAAATCACCTAAGATTGCTTGGTCTAGTGTGGAGGGTTCGGGTGGGATGAGGTTTGGGGAGAGGTTGCGGAGGTTTGATATCATGTTGCATAAGACTTGCAAAATATAGGAGCATAAAGTAAACAGCAGATTTTTAGTAAATAATTAAAATAAATAACATATTTTAAAATTATTTAAAGTAAATAATAATTTACCGTGTAAATAATCTTTTTACGGTTAGTAAAAAGATCTTTTTTTCACGTTAATTTTCTTTTTACGACTGATAAGTAAAGTTTTTTTTCACATAAATTATTTTTTATCAGTTGTAAAAAGATTATTTATGCAGTAAACTGCTATTTATTTTAAATAATTTTAAAGTCTCTTATTTACTTTAATTTTTTAAATTCGGGCAAAATAAAGCCACTGGATCAAAATATGGCCCGTTAACTATTTGGGCTGAGCTCAGTCCATGTGGGTTCGACTTCGGCTTACCCATCGAATCAAGTTGTGCCTCCGTGGCGGCCTGTTGAATTTATCTCTTAACAACAACTGAATTACTGATGCATCACCAAGTTTACCACGTGAATTTATCATAGTCGCCTAGTTTTACTTTACTTGATTATAGACACAAATTATAACCATTCAGATGAAAATTTGCATGTAATCCGATAATTATGTGTTTGAACGAACCATATGAACTTTGTGACCTTAATGTATATAAACAACTTACAAAACTTCCTCTTCCTTTTTATTTTCTTTTTCATAATATACATGAATATTTTTATTGAAATAGTAATATATATATATATATATATAAACAACTTACAAAACTTCCTCTTCCTTTTTATTTTCTTTTTCATTTTTTCTTCTTCTATGTGTAGTTCTTAATCTGTAGTCAGTTCAGTCAGCCGAGATTGAGATTCTTTGCAAGTTGAAGTTAGCAATCCATTGCTTTACTATTAATCAAGCCATTTTCCAACTTAGCTCCACATGTATTTTGCCATTTTTCGAATCGATTAGGTGGTACTCGTGGTTAAGGCGTCCATTGTGCACGACATCACCGAGATTAATTTCGACGTATCCCAATGATTCCTGCATGAAAATGAGCATAAAAATTTCAATTTTCAACACATTATTGATATAGTACGTCAAAAGAATATTGTTAGGCAAAACTTGCAAAATGGTACCTTTGATCTAAGACGAATGCCTGTCCTTTTGCTTAGAACCTCAATGTGGATCTTCTCATGCAAAGGGGGCTCCTCAAGCATGAACTGGAATTCTTCATTCCAGATTGGATCGCGGGCTTTCTTCATCATCTGATGAGACCATGACTTGCAGTTAAGTGAACAAAATTATGGACAGATTAATGCCACTAGTAGTATGCTTATAGAAGTTAATTATGGACAGATTAATGCAACTAGCAGTATGCTTAAGATTATAGACATAATTTTGGCAAATATGAAAACTAAACTACATTTGTGTTTTAACAATTATCTAGAGAGAAAAAAAGAAAAAAAATTTCACCTTTGTCTTCCTTTTTTCTCCTCGAAAGCGAATTGAAGCATAAGGATTGTTGTGATGCTTTCCTTCTACATCCTCAGCCGCCTGGATCATTACCAAGAGTACACCGGCTCTTCCCAAGGCGTCTCCATTTGACATCCTACTTCCCGCGCTTTCCTTGCTTTCACAGCCATTGACATTTCCAGTCAACTTGAAGCTGTCTGTTTTGAAGTGAACATAAGTCAGCTCCACCACAAGTTTCCCTCTTCGCTTCCTGTTCTGAGGATCGTTGACATTCGTGTTCTTGACCAGATCTAATGTAAATTCCTTCGTCTCATTTGGTGTTAGCAGCTTTAGAGGAATTAACTGCATTCCTATTCTGTCATGTCCACCGACCTGCGAGAAAAGGAAACAAGTTCAAGCTCGAACCAGTGTGAAGTATGGCTTGATCTAAACTCCTAAATAAGAAAATTACAAAAAACGAGATTTATGACACTGCATTACTCTTTTGATCCTATTAGCAGAATGATGGTCCAATATAGTTAACAATGTCATGTTATTTAAGAGAACCTCTTCCAATATTTTCACTTTCAAAAACAAAAACAAAAAAATGGAAGTGTTACTAAGCAAGTAATTAGTAATTTGGTTGAACAACTACTGAACTTGAACTGCTAAAAGAGGAAGGAAAACCTTGTCCCAATCATAGACTTGAAACTCAAGAGCTTGAAGCTGCAGGTCGGTGACAATAAGCTTGAACTTCTCATTCCACTCAGGGTTCAAGTTGTTCATGATGACACTAGTTCTCTTTGGTGGCAGCCTCTCTCCACTAAAGCTGAGTTTGACATAAGGATCAGAAGTTCCCAAAATGTCTTTCTTCAAAAGTCTAGCGGCCCGAACAATCTTGACGTGTAGTATTCCTACTGGCTTCTTTGCAGCCACCCTGTTGGGAGATTACCAACAATAACATCTCAGAGAAAAACTCAAAAAGGGTGATTATCACTAGCAAAGATTTTGTTACAAAGAGAGTGTTCATGTCAAATAAAGAAGATATAATGCTACACCAATTTTTTTTTTTTTTTTTTGACCAACTGATGTTTTAAACTTCTTGACTAAAGATATCACGCATTAGTGATATGGTGATAGGAACTTGTTAATTGGTTAGAGAAGTTAGTAGTTTGTTAGAAAGGATGTTATTAGTTAGTTACTGTGGACTTTAGTTGGGGAGGGAATTAGTTAGAGAAGGCAGGGGATATTAAAAGGGGGGTTCAGGAACTGAGGAAGAGGAGGAAAAATACTGGAGTTTGAGGAAGTCTTGGCTTATGCTGAGCAAGGGGAGGTTAGCAGTACCTCGAATCACTGCATTGTAATTCATTCTTTCATTCAATAAAGATTCATCTTTCTCTTCTCAATTCTTCTCATTTCTTGAGAATTGCCTTAGATCTTATCAAGTGGTATCAGAGCACTTTCTTGGGCGAAATTCGGAGAAGATGGAGGGAACATTAGGACGTTGGCAGCAATTAGAGAAGCCAATATTTTCTGGAGAAGATTCGGATGCGTGGATAGCAAGAGTAGAAGAATATTTCTTGAAAAATCGATTTTCAGAGCAAGAAAAAGTGATGTTCATTGAGGAGTTCATGGAAGGTAAAGCTTTTCAGTGGTTTCAGTGGGAGGATAGAAGACGGCCATTTGTTTGTTGGAGTGCATTCAAGATGAATTTGCTTCAACGTTTCAGACCAACACAAAGATTGCTTTCGGAAACGAATATGGAGGTTTGGCCACAGAACGTAGGAATGATTTCAGAACCTCATGTTTCTTGCGGTGGCTCGTCGGAACCAGATTTGGAACATCAAAACCGACGAACGGCCTTAGAGAAAACGCGAAGAGATCTAGAATCGCGTGAGGCCGACGGCACTCCGAGTAATTTTTCGCGGTCTGGTGCGATATCGCTCAGATCTAAGTCAATCTGTACTTTTCTGGGCATGGCTGAAGAGGAATTCGACGGAAGGTTGGATGAGTTAAAGAAAGAAATCAGAGAAACTCACGAATCAATGATGAAGGGAGTTGGGGAATTTAGAAAAAAAAGTAAGGGAAAATTTTGCTCAGATTCGAAAGATGATGGAAGAACAGAGGCGATTCTTGGCAGCGTCAGAGATAGCGAAATCATCGACGGTGGAGGTTAGGGAACCAACGTCGGCGTTTGAGTGGGGAATCACGGCAGAGCAACGTCAGAAATCATCGACGGAGGAGACACAACCTGTGTTAAGTGTCGATTTTGAAGATTCTTGCGGAGTCACGGCGGAATCGGGTGTCTATGGGACTGGGTTTCACGATTCCGGTCCGATGGGTTCCTATCTTCATGCGATTAGGGTTGGGGTTAGCAACTCCGGCAGGATAGGTTCCGATTTCGGCGATTTGGAGACTGCGTCTTGGGATTTAAGGACTGGGTCTTTGAATTCAAGAATCGTTAGGGCTGATTTTAACGCAAATTTGACTAGGTCTTCGTCTTCCAGCGTGATTGGGATTGGGTCAGGGATTTTCAGGGCGAATTCCAACAAGGGTTGGGCTGGGTTCTGAAATTCCGGCCGGATTTGGATTGGGTGCCGAGATTCTGGCGCAATTGGGGCTGATTTCTGCGCACTTGGGGATGGGCCTCCCAGCACCAGCGTGTTTGGGGCCGGAATCGGGAATTTAGGCGTGAGTTCTGGTGAAATCAGGGTTGTTTCTTGGTCTGCCTGTGTGGACAGGGCAACTTTAGCAAGGTTGGGCCTGGACTTCCTAATTCCAGCAAGATTGAGGCTAATTTTGGTGCGATTGGAGTTCACCCTCGAAATTTCAGCGAGTTTGGGGCTAGGTATGCATAAATTGGTGTGCCTGGAGTTCAAATTAGGAAGTTCGCAAATGGCAGACTTGAAATTGGTGGGTTTGCAACTTCCAAACCCAACGTTTATCTGGTTCACTGCTTTAGGACCCATTGTTGTTGGGATCGTCGCTACCGAGTTCATGGTTCCAAGCCTCTCTGTTGTAGCCTTCGTCACCGCTGAGCTTGACTCTCCTAGAGTCAATGCTCCATTTGACGTTCCAAGATTCAAGCTCATCGATATGGGAAGGAAGTGGAGTCATTCGGCCGTAATTTCTTGACTTACACCTTGAGGACAAGGTGTTTGTTTGGGGCGGGAGTAATGATAGGAACTTGTTAATTGATTAGAGAAGTTAGTAGTTTGTTAGAAAGGATGTTATTAGTTTGTTACTGTGGACTTTAGTTGGGGAGGGAATTAGTTAGAGAAGGCAGGGGATATTAAAAGGGGGGTTCGGGAACTGAGGGAGAGGAGGAAAAATACTAGAGTTTGAGGAAGTCTTGGCTTAGGCTGAGCAAGGAGAGGTTAGCAGTACCTCGAATCACTGTATTGTAATTCATTCTTTCATTGAATAAAGATTCATCTTTCTCTTCTCAATTCTTCTCATTTCTTGAGAATTGCCTTAGATCTTATCATATGGTTTGAAAAATATGTGGTTAAAAACGCTTTTATTTTGCTTTGAGCAAAATTTGGTCCCAAATAGAGGATACAGAAATGATAAAGTGTGGACAAAAAAGTAATATAGTTTCTAAAGATGACATATCCTAGCCTTATAAACTTACGTGGAAGCATCAAGAATAGGCAATTCAAGAGTTTGGGGCCAAAGGTATAGTCTTGCTACTTGTTTTTTAATAGTTTCCTGAAATCACCAAGAACAAGTAAGATGTAATCTAGCAAGCGAAGTTTGTTAAACAATTATATGATTGAAATAAACAATCCTACCCATAAGAAAACTATTGGTGTAGCACCTGAACATAGTGATAGAGACCAGGTATAGCCATGATGTCCCCTCCCATTATTTTCATGCCAAAATCAACATGAGGCTGCACCAATAAAGGAACCATTATATATGACAATCTGAATTTCTTCGGAAATTCACAATCTATGTGATATTTATCAATCAACGGTGCTATTGAGTATCGGTGGTGTCGGATATCATTGATGTCATTATCTTTTTTCCTTATTTAAATAAGCGAAAAAAAGAACATGAAATACACTCTTTGAAGTTTAGAAAATTGTACTACCTTCTCCATCAAAGAAATTGCGATGCTTGCGAAACAAGGAAAGGTGGGAACCAGAGGTTTTAGAGTTACCCGTAGAGCAGCAAATATTTGCAGATCCACTAGCTGAGAATTAGCATAAAAACAAAGGAAACGCAACAAAATTTCATGAAAACAACTAGAATGAATCACATTCTTCTCTGTTCTAAGGACTTATCTTCTAACCTGAATTTTGAGTCTTAGAGACAACAATTTCAATGTCAAAATTATGTTGGGATTGCCTGCCCATCGAAATACAGGATCCATGACTAGCTCTTGCTCATTAGTGTCATACACTTTCAAACCTTAAAATTTCCAAAAAGCAAATCGAATAAAGGATAAGAAATGTATATACTCATGAAGAACTCTTACTTTTGCTTCCCTGTTCATTTAGGGATAACAATACATCATCAACATTACCATTAATTATATTCAAAGTATTCCTAATACATTTTGTTTCTGTTGAATTTTTTATTACACAAGAGTAAATAGATGACACACAAAATAGACTCACCAGAAACAGTAGGAGGAAGAGTTCCAAGACTTAGAGCCTCAAACTCGATTTCTTCGATACGAAACGTCCCAATGTACTTTTCAAATATAGGTTGTGCCATGCTTCTTATCCTAAGACAAACAGCCTGCAATTAAACATACTCAATCCCAATTTTATAATTTTTCTCTCTTTTTTTTTTTTTTTTTTCAATGCAAAAAAAAATAGTTTCAGGATCACCTTATTGAGATAAGGCCACATTTGCAAGATGAACTTATTTAGCCAGTCTACCTGCATTTGGAAGCATATAATTAACATTTAACAAATTACAGTTCATATAAATGAATATTTTTCTATCTGAAAACAATGAAAGGGAGTACTAACTCGATCATAATCAGGGTTTTTCACCCACATTGGAATTTCGGGTAAAATTTCTTCCAAAGCTGCTGTGTCTAATTCATATAGTGGTCTTACAACTGGATCCTGAAATATGAAAAATTTGAGCTGTGAAAGTAGTCAAAGAAGAAGTAGACTCAAAACTTACTGTTTTATAAAGGGCATTTGACTTTGTCCGAACTCTAAAATAACGGGAGTTAAAAAAATTCCCAATATCCTAAATACAGCTATTTAAAAAACAAAAATCCCAATATCCTAAATACAGCTATCATATAAGCTGAAAGATGGCACTGTACTACATTTTTGTGTCCACCAATCTCAGATCAATAAAACAAATAACTAAAAGAAAAACAAAATTAAGAAAAAAAAATACTTGCAACTATAGGTAATTTCAGTTCCAATGGCGGTGAGCTGGGTATATGAGCAATCCACTCCGTAAAAAACGCGTCGGATAATAAGATTACATGTTCTTTTCGATAAGATTTATGTTTGAATTAGTCCCACGTAATGGATAGGATATTTAGAATAATATGCTTTGCGAGAAATATATATCCCACACTGAGCACTGAGATGTATTACCTTCTCGGGATCATCACCCAACAAAAAAAAGATAACTTTTTTTTTTTTTTTTTTTTTGCTAATGAAAAAAAAAAAAAAAAAAATTTTTTTTTTTTTTTTTTTTTTGCTAATGAAAAAAAAAAAAGAAATACTTGCAACACTAACTGGGTGTACAGTTCCTATAATCTTAAAATCATTCTTTCAAAATTCCATGAACAACAAAAACGACCTTATCATAATCTGAACATTCATTCAACCGCTACTAAAATGCTCGTGTGTGTATGTTTGGAATGTAAAAACGAAAACAAGAAACATATGCATACATACATATACATATACATATACATATATAAATATATATATATAAATTGTACCTGCACTTCATTAGGCTCTCTGTAAATGAAAAGGAAGAACCCCACCAAGAGTCCACCACAAATTCCAACTCCAAAACCAAGAATTCCCAGCAAACTGCTCATAAGAGCCATATTCTTAAAAACTCCAATAAAGTTAATCTGATATACTCTTCTGATACAGTACACAAGACCCAAAAAATACAAAATAAAAAAAGAGAAAAGAATAAGAGCCTTGGCAAATGGCAGTAGGAATTTGATAAAAACAATGATGGCAAAGAATAAGAATTTTCCAATGAGAGCGCCAAAATAGAGATAACTCTAATAGAGCTTGTCGTCCACTTGAAAACCAAACACGCCAAGCAAAGAAAACATTATGATGTAGTTACGGAAATTTAGAGGTATTTGGTTTTTGGCTTTTTGACGTGTGCAAATTGCAATTTCTTCTGAACTTTCCTTAACGATGTCAAATTTTCAATATGTGATAAGTTTGCTTTTTAAACACTTTATTTGTGTTAATCTCTTATGTTTTGGTAACATCTTAATATATGGCCACTCAACTACGTAAATACCATAATATAGAAGGTTACTTTCCTTGATAAAAAAAAAAGGTCAGTTCAAAAAAATAATAAAAAAAGGTAACAAAGTTTAATAAAACCAGATTGTTCAATTGATTATTTTCAGTAAACAAAGTTTTGTTAGGAATGGTAATTAATGTTGTTCTTCCCCTAAAGTTGAGGGTAGAGGGAGTAATTCTACATTCACTTTACAATCTTGAGGTCGTAGGTTCAATTTTTTTTTTTTTTTTTTGAAGAACAAAATCAAGCCTGAAATTCAATGTGTGTGTGTGTGTGTGTGTGTGTGTTTTTTTTTTATTTTAAAAAAAATCAATCTGTTTTTTAGGTAGACAAAAAAAAAAATTTATTGTGGAAACATTCTCTTTTTTTTTTTGGTTGAATATTCTTGATTTTAAAATTAAATATTGGAAATGAGTGTCAATTGATAATGTCAACAAACGTGATTTGTGATTATTAGTAAATATTTTCTTTTTATTATTTTCCGGTTTAAGAGATTTCTAGTATTTTTTTTTCTCTTTAAATATGGTATGAGACCTATGACTATCAAGATCCGAATCTTAATGGACGTTGGTAGACATTCACAGAAACCATCAATTCTCTTCTAGTGTTTACTAAAAATAAAAATAGAAAATATATTATAAATTTAATTACTAAAATGTTTACAATTAAATAGTCATTGGTTTATAATTTAAAAACTTATTAAGAGCCCGTTTGGTTGGAGGATTCATTCTCTGATTTAAATCATGGTTTATGGTTTGCTACAGTATTTTCTTTCACAAAAAATACACGTAAATCGAAAATAATTCTAATCTCATAATTATAATCCATGAACCAAATGGGCTAAAGAGTAATATAAATAAATTTTGCATTTACTCTCTCTAGGGGTTTTTTTTTTTTGGGCGCTGCTCAAGCTTTGTGAAAGGCTGGAGACCATCCTCGTCTTCAATCGGGCTACGGGACTTCTCCCTCATTAATGTGGTCTCAGGGTGCACGAATCTCGAGGACGAGGTTGAGATGGGGATTTGGGTGCTAGGAGGGCGCTAATGGTGGGTTTCCGACCACCTTTTATAGGCAGACTTCTTCTAGTTATGATGTAATTTGGAGTATCCATTCCTTTGGTGTTGCGTTGCCTCTAGTATGGTGTGGGTCTCGGTGGGTGCTCGCGCTGACGATTCGTGCGTCTTTCAGTTTAATGTTTGGGGTTTGTCAATGGTTTCTTTCCTTTAGTCTTGACATTAAAACTGTGGTTCGTGTTGCTCGAGACTTTTGCTTTGGATTTAGTTTTGATTTTGATGTAATAAAAGCAACGTTTATTCCACCATTTCAGCGGTTTTCTTTTATCACCTCACCCTTCTACAGTGATAGTAGATCTAGTTTGTTAGGTTTGATCCTATGTAATGTTGTTAGTGACTTTAGTGCGTTAGGTCTTTGGTTTTAATCAGTTGATTTTATCCAATGATTGTAGTAGTTTTGTCAAATGAGCTTTATTCTCGCTTAATTTTAATGTGCCGAGCGAATCTTTTCTCATTAGGTCTCAGTACTCGTACTTGCATCTAAAGCCCAATTCGTCAACGTTGGCAGATATACTCTTTTTCTATGGTCGAATACCGTTGTATTTGGTGATTATTTGCAACTATAACCGAATAAAAATTTTCAGTTAAATAGAGTTACATTTATTTACTTTAGCATACAATCAATACCAAGGATATAATCAAGTTTGACACTCTCTTTTCTCATTTTCTATATGATACGGGGTTTCACTAAACTCTCATTATTTATTTTTAAGTAAAGACATGATTAAATGAGAAAGAGCACTAATCTTATCTTTTCCTCTCTCCATTTAGGAAGTAAACACGTCGTTAATGTAAACAACGTATGAATATATATTTTACATATCCGTATCAATGAAAGTTCCACAAATTAAATTTTCACTCTCTCTAATTCTCTAACAATCACCAACAAGCTAAACATTTAACCGCCGATCACAATTATCTTTGTTGTAATATTTAGTTGAAAGCCATGAGTGAGATATTAATAGACATTTTTATTCCCTTTACCACAATTTTCTATTTTTATTGTTAATTTGATTGATTAACACATGTTAAGATTCCAGAAACAACAAAAATAATTTTTTCTACAAAAATGAAAAGAACTAAAAGTGTTTTTTGCAGATCGTGGCCATCTTAAAAAGTAAATGTGATCGCAAATCTTTGTATACCATGATAATATTCACAAGAGAATAAAATCTCTGCTTATTTTATAAATATATGGATTGTTAGGATTTTCTTAACTGGAACCAACTAATTCACACTTTGGTCTGCATTACTTAATTAATTCATGACCCTTTAATTTATATTCAATTGACCATCATTTTTTTTTTTGGGTGGTAAATCAACTGACCACAATAAAAAAAAAAAAATAGTAAACAATATAATAATAAAAATAAGTATCTGCTCAAGGTGCCAACCGGGGAGACTGTTTGCTTTGTGGACAGATATGAAAAGCGTTACTTTACAAAAAAACATAATTGTTTCATATGTTTGACGAAAAAATCAACAATCAATAATGGACTGGTTACTTTATAAATGCTTAATCATAAAGAAAAAGAAAAAAAAAGGATTAAATCATCATCTTCCTAGTACAAATCTAGGCCAATCGCATTATTCCAGTTGAGCATTTTCACTCGTAGATTTCATAAAAAAATATCGTTTTTAAGTTGTGTCGTGACTTATATTATTAGTTCGTAATAATATATCGTTTTTATGTCAGCACGTGAATGCATGAAATGGTGGGATAATTATTTATTATTTATTATATTATTGTTACTATTAAATTATTATTTTTTGACATATCGTGATGAGAGGATATTCTTTAGTTTACCAACCGCTTAGAATTTTATACATGTATAAATGTGAAGAAGAAAAGTTCTCGCTAAAGCACCTAATTAACTAATTTCATTACGAGCTAGAAAAATTAGCGACGTAGGTGCAACTCAACTAATGAGGTCGAGCTAATAAAAAGATGTTGAATTTTAGAGGGGGACAAAATACAAATTTATAATTTTTATGTCCAAAGTCAAAAGAAAAAGAGAAGTTCAGATGGGCAACCGTCCACTCTCGTCCATGGGTGGCTCCGCCCCTGTCACTATACTTATCTAAGTAAATAAATCTTGAGTCTTGTTCAGTTCACCGATTTAAATTTTTAATTTGAATTCAGATGTGATTTTATGTGAGAGTTTTTAACTGTAACAAAAAAGTTAAATGTGACTTGTTGTGAGAGCTTTTAATTATAACAAAATTGAAATTGAAAACTCGAATCGGTGAAATAAAGATGCCTTTGTCTTACCAGAATACTAATGTAAACCACTTTTTTTTTTTTTTTAATACTAATGTAAACCAGCCTAAATCGTTACTTTTACGACGTCTTCTTTAATATCATGTAATCATGTTTCGTCACATTTTTCACTTGTTCCTTAATTTCTCGCGTAGATCTTAATTTTGAAACTTGAAAGTCAATGTGACCCTATGCATTTATTATGTTGTTCTATTATTTTGTATGATTTGTCAAACATGTAAAGTGAACAAATACATATTGTTGTGGTTAAGATTAGCTTAAAATTAAAATATGACTACAGCGACATTTACAACTATGAGATTAAGAGAGGAAAAATTCATGTTATACTTTTCACTTCTATACATTATATAGAAGTACATCGCTAGATAAAGAATATGTATTTAATTTTCATTGCTTTATAAGTGTGAATTTCACTAAGAAAAGAAAGAACGATTCTGTGTATTCCCGTCCAACTCTGTAAAGATAAATCTCTCTATTATCTCTCTTGTTCCTTTTATTTGTTGAAAGAAGGAAATACACTAAGATTTGAGATGAATTAAAATTAATAGGTCAATAGTTTACATAAGTTAATAAATAGGCCAAATTATTATTTTCGTCCATAACTTGTCTGGTTATGAACCATAACTTGACAAGTTTGTCCATAACTTATCTGATTATGAATCAATCATAACTCGACAAGTTATGGCCTATTAATTTTTATAACTAAAAATTAGCCTATATATTTTCTTAAACTTTTCTTATTGGCCTATTTTCTACTATTTTGCTTTGTTTGTTTACACAAAAGTTTACAATACATTTAAGCAAAACCACTCTTTTTGAAAAACTCACACTTTAGCATCAAATTCCCTCTCTCCCTCCATTTTTTCTTTTTTTTTTTTTTTCAATTTCCTCTATTGAGCTTGGCATCTGAGAGATGATAAAAAATAAACAAGTAAGAATGAACCTTTCTTTCATGTACATGAAGCACCTTCTTTGCAGCCTATGAAACCATTACTTGCAGAATGTTGTTCATTTTGTATTAGTATTAACAAGGCCACTCTAAGCATTCCGCAATCCAATTTCTCAAACCGTAGTCCATCGCATCTCGACATGTATTGTTCCGTTTTTCGAGTTGATCAGATGGTATTTCTCATTGATCCGCCCGTTGCTAACGACGTCACTAAGATTGATTTCCACATGGCCCAAGGATTCCTACATGACCAAAAAGATAATGAAGCATTCTATGGTGTATGGAGAAACTTGTAGTCCAAGCAACAAAGAAATTAGCTATGATGGAAAAGGGGGAAAAAAAACACCTTTGATAGGAAGCTTATGCGTGATCTCTTGCTGAAAACCTCAACATAAATTCTCTCATGCAATGGAGGTTCCTCAAGCATGAATTGGAATTCGTCGTTCCATAGTGGGTTGCGAGTTCTTTTGATCATCTGAACAAACCAAAATGTATAGGATTATAATATAGTGAATGGAGATAAGAGAAGAAAAAAGAGGATACAATCTTTGCATTGGTGAAAGTCCCAAGGGCTACTCATGTTTGTCTACATTATAGCTAAAATACAAAAGGCAAATCTAAAGAGCTTAAATAAACCAAACAATGAAACCTTCACCTTTGTTTTCTTCCTTTCTCCTCTAAATAGGACCAAAGCATAAGGGTTGTTGTGACTTTGCCCCTCAACCTCCTCCGCTCCTTGGAGCATAACCGAAAGCAAACCTGCTCCACTGAGGGCTCCATCATCTGACGGCTTGTCGTCGCTACTTTCCTTTCTTCCATACACAACCAAAGGTCCACTAAATTTGAGGTTGTTTTCTTTAAACGGGACAAAAGTCAGCTCAGCCTCGATTTGGCCCCGTCTCTTCTTGTCTTGGGAATCACTAATATTTGTGTCCTTGAGCAAATCAAGTGTAAATTCCTTTGTCTCATAAGGGGTCAGCAGTTTCAAGGGAATTAACTGTACTCCCAACCTGTCATGCCCACCAACCTATGAAGAGCAGAAAATAATGAGAATCAATTATACTCATTGTAAATGCAAAAGTAAGCTATTCAAAGCAACCTCCCTACTTTTTCAAACTTTATAGAAGAAAGGTGTCTAGAGATACTACAAGTAATTAAACAAATAGCTAAAGAGCAGATGATAGTTTTGCATTTAGTGCATTTTTGACAATCCTAAGCTAATTTTTTGGAACTTGAAAAGAGCATTTGAACATAAATGTCCATCAAAACACATCAGACTCAATCAAGTGTGTGTTTCTTGTTTTGTCCCTTTTTTAACTTTCTAAGTTACCGAAAAAAGGGCAAGAGGTAATGAACCTTATCCCAGTCAAAAACTTGTAACCGAAGAACTTGAGACTGCGGGTCCTTCACCACGAGTTTGAAGTTTTCGTTCCACTCGGGGTTCAAGGTTTTCTTCTTGACAGTGGTTTTCTTTGCTGACAGACCTTCACCTGTCAAGCTGAGTTTGACATAGGGATCAGAAGCTCCTAAGAGGTCCTTCTTCAATAGCTTATGAGCTCGAACGACATTCACACGTAGTATTCCCACAGGCTTCTTTATTGCCAGTCTGTAATAGCATAAAGATAATATTATTCTAATTCCTTGTTCTCCATTATCTGGCACAGTGATATGAACTTCAGATCATATTAGAATGTCCAATGTTTGGGACACAAAAGAAAAATACTTGGAAATTGGATATTCCAAATAAACTATGCAGAACTCAAAGTGTAACCAAAAAGCATTATCTTTTTAAGTAGAAATATAAATCTTTAAAGAGAGTGATCAAATAAACAAAATCTCAAGGAAACTTACGTCGAAGGATCGAGTATAGGTACTTCGAGAGTTTTGGGCCAAATATAGAGGCTTGAGATCTGCTTTTTAATGGTCTCCTGTAAGAAAGTAACATTGCCAACCGAACCGAGTCATATTCAACCGGGCTTTGAGGAACTGTAATTCAATTTCCAATTACACAACTCTAGCTAATTACATTTTGATCGAAACCCAACTCCGAACTGTAAAAGTATTACCGGTGCAGCACCTGAACAAATCGATAGAGGCCAGGTATAGACATGAGATCCCCTCCCAATATTTTCATTCCAAAATCTACATGTGGCTGCAAATAAATCATTACAAAAGAGCCATATTTTTTTAACCACTCTAGAACGCAAGGAAAAAAAACAAAAAACAAAAACAAACTTTGCAATGTGTAGAACTAGATGATATGCTTACTTTTTCCATCAAAGACACCACAATGTTTGAAAAGCATGGAAAGGAAGGCACAAGAGGTTTCAGAGCAATCCGCGCAGTTGAAAATATTTGTAAATCTACTAACTGTTAAAAAGCATATCAGCATTCCAAATTAAATGAATTCATTTTGCAGAATTTAAAGGGAAAAAGAGAAAAAAAAAAAAAAAAAAAAAAAAAAAAAAAGATGATGACTCTTTTCTTAATGACTTAATGCGTTATCTTTAGGCTATTCTGACCTGAACTGTAATTCTTAGAGACAACAACTTGATCACCAAGGTAATGTTGGGATTCCCAGCCCATCTAACTGGCGTTTCCATGACTAACTCCTTCTCATTTGTCTCATAGGCTTTAAGCCCTGCGAGATAATCGATTAACCGACATGAGTACGGAATTGTAATATTTGCTTAAATGAAGTATAAAGTTTGATAGTTGTCACTATAATTATGTTTTCTCCAAAATTTCATGAAGGCGTTATTTTATGACTTCTATAATATTTTCCCACAAATTAGTATAGCCTGATGATAAGTGAAGAACTTGTTGTTACTGACAAAATTCTGTTATTCCTGGAAATTTTGTGAATATGGATCAAAATAGACAATACTTATACTTGCTTCAACGAGGTTCTCGTGTCTTGTGATCATTGCTTACAAGTGTTTAACAAACATATGATCAAGGTTTGATTGGATCAATTATATTTCAACAAGATAAAATTCAGCTTTGCTTGGACTAATGCAAACGCAAAAGTAATGTTGCAATTATAAACTAAGATGCAAGTCACGCAGTAGTTATAATCAATGAATTTTCATACGAGTCATTCTAAAACAGGAATTCCCACTGCCAGAAACTTGACAAAATCTCTTGTCCCTGAAAGCTGTTTAGTATACAAGTTTAAGTGAACCTCAGACTTGAACTCGATTGTTTCGCTTAAACTGTTTAGTAGACTTACCATATAGCAGTGGTGGAAGATTTCCCAGACTTAGGCTCTCAAACTCGATTGTTTCGATCTGGAACTTCCCAATGTACTCTGAAAATATAGGTTGTGCTGTACTTCTTATCATACCAGTAATTGCCTGTAAATAAAATGAACTCAAGCTCACAAATTTAAGTAAGAGATGAATGTTATTTACAACTCACAAAATCACCTTGGAAAGGTAAGGCCACATCTCCAAGATTACTTTATTTAACCAGTCCACCTGCACCATTGAGAACATAATCAACATTCGAACAAAAAATTAAATAAAAATTAAATAAAATAAAAATTAAAACCGTTGAAATTAGCGAAAAACAATGTTGTAAGACAATTGATAGTGATACTAACTCGATCAAAATCAGGGTTCTTCACCCACAAAGGGATTTCAGGCAGAAGATCTTCCAAAGCACTTGTGTCCAACTCATTAAGTGGTCTGACAATAGGATCCTGTGGAATTAAGGGTGTCAAGATTGCTAAATTTATGCACACAAATTGGACTTGAAACTTAATTCATTGTCTTCTTTTGGCATATTGAAAAAATCAATTAGAGTTATTATATGGTATTAGGGAAAAAAAAAAAATACGACAGAAATTAGGAGGAGCAAGAAATCTCACATCAATTTGCAACCATTTTAAACTACATATATATTAAATGGTGTTCATCTTGTTTCATGGCTCTAATAGCAAAGTTTGAAATTTCTTTAGTGAGTGAACAACCAGGGATATTGAATCTTCAGAAAGTTTGAAATTTCTTTAGACCAATATAACCAATTAAAGCCGAAGAAGAATCAAATAGAGATTATTATATGACAACACAACACAAGATGACACCAGAGGTCAGGCAACGAACAAATCATCAAAAACTTGATTGAAAAAAAAAAAAACAACTAATTTCCTTCTAAATGATCTCCCAGATCATCACTTTTGAAAACAGACAGAGCCATAACTCATTATGATATTATATATATATATATATATATATATATCCACTTTGAGTTTCTCTACATTTCTTAAGGGTGTATATATATATTCATTCATTTGTCACACCCTTAAGAAAAGTAGAGAAACTCCAAAGTGGATATATATATATATGTATATATATATATATAATCACAATTCAAACCTTTTCTCCTACATAATATTTGAATTTCTTTTCAAACCTATGAACTCTGAGATTCTGAATGATTGAAACATAAAATACCAAGTTCACCATTCAAAACATATTGGTATTGCTTATCAAACAATAACCAAATAGCTATAATATACATATGTGTGTACATATATATATATATATATATATAGACAGCGAGAGAGAGAGAAAGAGAGAGAGAGAGAGAGATGCATATATACCTCAGCTTCATTGGGCTTGGAGTAAATGAAGAAGAAGAAACCCACCAAGAGACCAAGAGGAAGTCCAATTCCAAAACCAAGAATCCCCAAGAAGCTGCTAAGAAATCCCATGTTTTGAAATCCTCAAAAGCGTCTTCTCGTTTAGTTAGTTTTTTTCTTTTACGAAACCATCAAGATTCAAGAACATGTCCAAAAGAATCACGAGTTCATATCATGCACAATAAAAGAAAGAAAGAAACAACAACATTGGCAGATTTTGGCGATACAATCCAAGCCTGGTTGCCTCGGGAAACGCCAATGAATAAGCTCCCAAACATGAATAAACGAAAACCGATTAAACAACTTCACCAAAAAAAAAACAAAAAAAAAAAAAAACAAGAAAAACTGTTTGTACTCTCTCTCAGATTTAGTCACGGTTTTGCCCTGTTTCTCTCGTTACGATGTTTTAATTGTAACTTCCTATAAAGGATCCGATTTAATACGAAATTACTAAAATAACCTTGTGTTTCAGCAATTTGAAGAGTCTAAACTCAAAGTCTAAACTGATGATTACAAAATGGATTTTCTACCCTCAAAAAAAGAAAAACAGAAAAGAATTTCTATTTAAAAACTTTTTAAAATATGAAACTACCGTAATACCGTTGCGTTTCTTCTACATTTTGGTCTCTAAACTCTAATGCTTACAAATAACAAAATGGCTTTTCTATTAAAAAAAACTGCTTACAAAATGTGAAATTACTGAAGTACCCTTGCATTTTTTGTACATTTTGATTAGTCTAAACTCTAATGCTTGCAAAATGGATTTTCTATTAAAAAAAAAAAAAGAACTGCTTACAAAATGTTAAATTATAGAAATACCCTTGCTTTCTTCTACATTTTTTTTAAATGGCCTGTTTCTTCTACATTTTGAAGAGTCTAAACTCCAATCCTGACAAAATTGATTTTCTATATAAAAAAATGCTAACAAAATGGATTTCCAATTCCAATCTCTAAAAAAGTGTATGGCTAATAATGCCGTATTGGCCAAGATCTGAACCGTTGGTCAACATTAATCAATGAGATCAATATGAATCCTACACCATTAAATGCTCTGTACTTAATTTAGGCATCTATGTTTGTTTATAGAGGTTGCGTGTCATTTTCAAGCTCTTAATAGGTCCAATCTAATAATTCTAAAAAATTATATGATTATATGTGATAAATGGTTTTTTTTTTTTTTTGTTCTCAACAACTTTTCCTTTTTTTTTTTTTTTTTGTTGAGAAATCAACAATTTTTCTATATATAGTAATATACTAGTCAAAAGGCTGCGCGTTATTGTGAAAAAAGTTATTGTATTATATAAAAAATTAAAAACTTTTATAGTATAAGATTAGTTTATATATATACATATAAATATATTTATATAATATTCTCTTTAAAAGTTTTTTATAATGTATTATAACTTTTGTTTTTCCTTTTTTTCTTTTGTTGTTCTTAACTGTAAAATACAAATTTAAAAAAAAATAATTAAGAAAGTTGAAAATCATTAATTATGTGTAGTGTAAATTAAAAGATTTAGAAGTAATTATATTACCTGATTTGTAGGTATTTTTTAGATGAGTCTGTTACTTTGGTTCATAATTGAAATGATAAAAGATCGTTAAAATATATATTTAAAATAATAAATGTTGATTTTTATTGATAATTAATATAAATTAATAAATACAAAATAAATAAATAAATAAATAACTGAAGACAAAAGTGTACTATCATATTATAGGATAGGAAAAGACCCAAAAATCTCTGCGCAGAATGAGAGAAGAAAGGAAAAAAAAAAAAAAAAAAAGACAAACTCGACGATTCAAATTTAAAGAGGTAAAATCAGCATTTCACTGTATATTATGTACAGTAAACCATGCCTCTTCTTTTTTATGATAATGTGTGTTGTGTGTTGTTAATCAGCATTGAACACGATTAAGGGTTCGTTTGGTTGGAGGATTCAAACCATGTGATTCGAACCATTTTCGATTTACGTGTATTTTTTGTGAGAGAAAATACTGTAGCGAACCACGAATCATGATTCGAATCAGGGAACGAATCCCTCTACTAAACGCTCCCTAATATTCATCCTGCAAAACGCGAAACTTTAATACAAATTGCCACTAAGATGGTTGGAACTTGTGATACCGAATATTAAATATTAAAATTCCTTCAAAAGATATTAAAAATCAAAATTAAATAAATGAACAAATGTTCTGTTTCCTTCACCTAGAAAGCAACGGAAAAAACAACTTTATTATTAATATTATTGTTATTATTCTTTAATAGGTATGAAAAAAGAAAAACCATACCTTACTAGGAAAATAAAGTTTTAAATGTTAGATTTTTACTAATTTTATTGAATTACTTTTTGTTTTAATCTCACATGATCCAACGGTTAAAATTTATGCCACACGGATCAAATATTTCCTCAATACCACAGATTCTCAATCTGACTAGAATTTGTTTTTCGTTGTTGTCATGCATATCATTTCATTATATATTATTGTTGTTGTTATTATTATTATTATTATTATAAATGCAGAACAAATAAAAAAAAAGAAATATTAACGTCAATCACTTTATCACTCTCTACTTTCTGCTATTGTCACGTGGCATCTCATTTTCCTAAAAAAAAAAACCATAATTATAGATATTTTAATTTTAATTACGATACTGCCACTCATTTATTTTAACCTGTAAAATCTGGAAAGGCTTTCTTTATCACTTATTATTTATTTACCATCCTTTTCCTTTTTTCTTTTTTTTTTAAATGGTTTTTCTCTACTTTTTACTCTTTAAATAACGTAAGACTTCGAACCCATCTTAAAACTATATATAAAACGTGTTGTAAAGGTTAAAAATATGACCTGTATAATATATAATATATCCAATGTTACATTACTATAATTATACATGATGTATATAAGATAATGTGCGTGTAAATATATATATATATATGAGTAAATGAAAGGTCCAACGATTTACGAGAAAACAAAACGTATACAACCATATTTAAAGAGGAAAAATAAAAAAAATAAAAAAGAAAAGGAAAAAAAAAATGTATCAATGCATTATAAACTAATACATAAGTAATAAATATTATAATGGCAGTTTTGATATATTAAAAAGTGGCAAAGTTGTAACAAATGGATAAAACAATAATCTATGATTATGCTTTATTTTTATGAGGAATTGAAATGACATGTGGAAGAAATAGAAGTAAGAGAATGAGAAATGGTGGGCATATCATTTATGTCAGCTTGCATAGTTGCTGTAACAAAAATGGTCCCAAAAGGACCACCGATGAATTAATTGAATTTTTCATAGTTTAATTTTCAAAACGCGTGGAGAATTGGTGGGCATATCCCAAATACCAATATCATAAGCTTTGACTTGTACGCAAATGTAATAAACACATTTTGTGTATTTATATAAAATGTGTTTATACATATGTAATATATGTGATTTGAGGTTCTATACCATTCTCAGAAAAAATATAAAAGTAACCCTTACAATTATTCTTAGCTATCTAACTGTTGAAAATTTGTTTTAATTTCTAACTCCATCTTTCCATTTTTTTTTTTTTTTTTTTGCTTGCACGTTTCTTTTAAGGGATTCCTATATTAATCGTTCAAATCAGAGTTGGTCTTTTTTTTTTTTTTTTTTTTTTTTTTTTTTTTTTTTTTTCCTTTCTCTGAAATCAGAGTTGCCTTTAAGTTAATTACTTGAATAGAATGTGTTCCCATCACTTGAATTATGAATTTAAAAATGTTTAATAAATGTTTAAATGTAGTCTTTAAAGCTTAAGTAAATGGTTTTAATTTTATTAAATTAGAAGAAAAAAATTATTTTTTTTAAAGAATGACTTTTGCAAATCAGTTGATTTTTGATCAATTATGTTGCTTGATCTTGATAAATCATTAATTAATCATTGTTTTACTATCATATGTATAATTTATCGATTATGAATCACATAAATTATTTAAGAAATTGACATTTTTCTAAAAAAAAAAATTAAATACAAGTACAGACGTTTACAAAAGACCATACTTTTTTTTTTTTTTTTTTTTTAAATAACAAGTCAGATTCCGTATATCTCGTGTTTTAAATCAATAACAGATAAGAAGCATTTTTACTTTTTTACAGCTTTGCAACATTTTTTAAAATCTTACCAGAGAGTTAAATTCACATTTCAGGGGGGGCGTTTCTGAAAGGTAAGTTAGTGGTAGGGTGGGGGGGGGGGGGGGGGGACGACAGATTTTTTTTTTTTTTTCGTTTTTTGAATATAATGGTTTTAATTTTAATATAATATGTATGTATATAAATTAGATTTGATTCTCCTTAAATTAATAGTTCTCTATATTTTATTAGGCCGTGAATTAATTTAATAAACAAAAACAGTTACATATACATACATATTAATATAATCTTGATTAAAAAAATTTTAACCCCCTATCAATAAATCCTAATTCAGTCACTAATTCTATAAAAACATTTCATAATTCATAAACTTTTGTTACATTGAAGGTATAGCTTATTTTGCTCGTCTCAAAATGCCCATGGGAACGTAAAATATGGTTCGCTATTTCTCGGACATTTGTAGTGCGTTTGGTTAGTAGATTCGTGTCCTGATTCGAATTATGGTTCGTAGTTCGCTACAATATTTTCTCTTATAAAAAATACACGTAAATTAAGAATAATTCTGAATCATATTCTAAATCTATGAACTAAACGTTTCCCCAAGTTTTCCTTATTGTATTTGTTTGAGAACGACTTTCCCACGTCGTCATTAGGGGGAAAATAAAAAAGTGCTGAAAAAGGGTTTTTATTTTATTTTATTTTTTTTTATGTCTTCTTCCTACATTAAAAGTTAAAATTGTCTTCTTCGATCGTATTGTTTTCTTGTTTTTTCTCTACAATGTTGGAACCGTAAGCTGTTTTGTTTTTATATATTGTTGCATTCAAACTCTTTGACTTAACAGATGCATTGTTTTGAAACTTATTTCAAAAAACTAATAATTAAAAGCTTTTTTTTTTGTCGATAAATGATGCATAAACTTTGTGAAACTATCACAATTGTTGATCTTATAAAAACACCAAGATGGATATTGTTATAGGGTAAAATTCCAAATCTTAAGCTGGGTATTGAATGAGACCTAGCTACACGTTATAATTAAAAGTATTAGAAGACGTTTAGTTTATG